GTGGACGCACACAGTAAAAAACGCTATTATTAATGAAACCATTGCGCTTAAATTATTACATGGATCAAAAAATAATTGTAAGGAACTTATAAAAGAGGTAAATTTTCGATGATATAAAATTTATTATTAAATGTTTTCATCTTATTAATAATATATATAAATTTTAAAGCTAAATGCATATTTTAATATTGGGAATAAAAATGCAACTTTTTTGCAATGTCATGGAGTATCAAAAGATGAAGCAACTGGTGATTATGTTTTAGTTATGCAATACGCACCAATGGGATCGTTACGTCAGAATCTTTGCGCAGTTGCACAAATGAAATGGGAAAAAAAATTAGAACTACTATCTTATATCGCGTTTGATCTTCAAATAATTCATTCACATAATATTATTCATTGCGATTTACATAGTGGTAATATATTACAAAATGATTTATACAATGCTTATATTGCTGATTTAGGCTTTGCAAAGTCAATCAACAATTCATTAGACACGGAATCTAGAGGAATTTACGGAGCATTGCCATATATTGCACCTGAAGTTTTACGAGGAAACCCATTTACTAAAGCATCAGATGTTTATTCTTTTGGGATAATTATGTGGGAAATATCTTCAGGACATGTTGCATATCCTGATAGTAAAAATAATCAACATGATAACTTAAGCCTCTCAATAGAAATTTGTGATGGCTTTCGACCGACTATTCCTAAAGGTACACCCCATTTTTATGTAGATCTTTTTAAAAAATGTTGGGATAATGACCCAAAAAATCGACCAACTGCTTTAGAGATTTGTGAAATTATTGAAACCTGGAAAAATAATACTGATTTCTTATCGGAATTTCAAAAATGTGACGAAGAAATAGCAATAAAAAATGTAAATTATAATATTGATGGCAGTACAATTCATAGTAGCCAATTTATTAGTTATATTATTCAGAAACAAGATAAATCTATTAATACACGTGAAATTATTTCAGATAATAATATATGTATTGAATACGTATCCTAAAAATGAATATCTTGAAAATGAATACAATAAAGTTATTTAATAAATTATTTTATGTTATTCAGACAGAATTAATAATTTCGTTAAATAAAGTTTTAAGGGTGAATAAGTTTATATGTAAGTGAACCCTTAAGATTATTTAAATCCGGAACGTGTTTTCGTCGACAATCTAACTCTTGCCTACACTAATTATAAATCAGGTCAGTCCTAACCTAAATCTGGACATTTTTGTCGGAGAAATAGTTGTCGCCTATACCATTTGAGGAGACGCAGCAACGGAATGTTATCTCGAATAACTGTTACCATGGTTAATAAAATAATATGTGAATTGTGCTTTTATTTTAAGTGCCAAAACAGCATTGTGTCCATTTGGTGACAACTAGATGTGGTCATAAATGTTTGGATATACTTTCGTAACGTGTAACTTACTTTAGAATCTTTTATAGCTTGTTTGAAAGTATATACTCGTGGTCAGTATTATTACTCTGACAGCTTGATCAAAATCTAATATTGAATAACAAACCTTATTATACGTAGCACTTTGTGGATTAGCATAAAATTTGTATATATACGTTTAGGATAGATATATAAGATAGAGTACATCTGTCGAACTGTCTACAAATACACAACACTGACCAGCTGATATATTAAGGTAGCAATAAAGAGATATTATAACGAATATAGAAACATGTTCATGCAATTTTCATATCATTTGATTAATTTATTAAAGACGAATTGAGTGGAGCAAAGATACACGTATACATTCATTTAGTTTTCTTTTGATAGCGAGTTTTATTTAAGCTGCTAAGAGTAAAATAATTCAACTGAAAGTTGAATCCTTAAGATGGAAATTTACAGAATGTGATTACAAGTTTTTCTTGAAATAAACTGCCCAATTTGTTATAATATTCTGTACTCGCATCTGGAACATGTGGTGCGCCAAAATTTAGAATAAAAAATTATAACATCATCGCTAATAGTCATGCGTGAAAGAACAAATTCATAAAAACATTTCTTGTCACTTTTTGTTTATATTATCATTTTTAATTTTTCTTTGTTACATTAACGAAAGCTGAACTATAATTCTTATCCATTTCTAAGTGAGTCGATTATTAAATAGAAAAGGCCCATTAATAAACAATCGTATTTTCATCATTAATGAGAAGTTGATTTGTTGAAGTAGAACAGGTAACAACGAGTTGTTAGATTTTAGATACTGTATTATACTATATTAAGGTAATTTGAATCTTATATTTTACATTAAGAACATTTCGTTGTTCGTTTTGTATATAAAGTAGTAAAAAATGACAAGATAGTGTACATAGCTTGTATGAGACAAATTATTCAATTAAGAAAATTTATATTTTAAAATGAAGTCTTATAACTTGCAGGCTTATCTCGCCCGAGATACACTTATATTTGGTCATTATGGTGTACACATTTTCCGAATGCCTTATACTCGTTATAAATTCATGACATTGTTAATTATATGACCTACATGTATTTTTAGAATAACTTTCAGCAATTTCAACGAACCGGGTTAATACAGTAGTAAACTTTAATGTTTGCTTATTACCTGAAAAATTATTCTTTTTAATAGAGTTTTCAAATATATGGTATTGAGAAAATAAACTTTTTATTTAGAGGTCTATTATTTCTCAAATTTTTTATTAATAAAGCTACTTTTGAGGTTCTAACAAAAAAGATTCTTTGCAGAATTTTAGTATAAACTATGCCTTTCTCTAAGCTCTAAACTAACCTTACTCTAATCTTAAACAGGGTTAAATTTTGTTAATAAAAATCGTATACTGTACTGTATTACACGAATACATACACTACACGTAAACTAAGTTTCTTTTATTTTTCTCTGATATTTTCTGCGTTAAATATTTATAAATTATGCGTTGAATACACAGATCAGTCAAAAATTCTGCATGCTACAAAAATTAACGCGAATGTACGTTTATGATCTATACCGGAACTTTTCGCATACTTATAAAATAAACATAATTAATACATTCTGTGATAATTCCGTGCTATATTTGACGCATAAGTCATCTTGGTAATGAAATCATTTGTAGGTTTCAAATTTAATTTTTTTTTCCATAACAAAAAAATTCCTCTAAATGTATATTCCCTTGTGCTTATAGCTAAGTACATTATGGGTTAGCATCTTTAGGATGTATTTCTTTATAATTACCTCCTAAATAAATGATTTTGGATCGGTAATCAGATTCATTCACTGGATACGTATAAAAGAATGACGGTTTAGATGAGAAGCTATCCAGCAGCATGATAAATGATTTAAAAATGGATAAATAATTGAGTGTCGGCAAATAAAAATAAATTATTAGGAAATTCATAATCTAATTCTAGAATGCATATGTACATTTTCCTTTGCCAACATTAAATTACACATATGATTTCGACAAGTTTGACCGCATGATATTGCAGATATTGTTTATTAGTTATCGTTAGTTCAATTACGTAGAATTAAAAGCAATTATTTTAACCTTAATTTTTGCGTCAATGACGAACGATTAATTGATAACAGAGTAAAGTTTCTTATTACGTACTGTATCATCCCGAAATAACGCCCCGGGCGTTATTTCGGGATGATACGGCGCGTATGGTTATCTAATTATGTAATAAATTTGTCATTGTGTATATTGAATTCTAAACTTTAAATTATTATTTACTCGCAAAAAAACCAAAAAAAAACCAAAATAACGATTATAATATCAATTTAACAAATCTAGCATCACCCATAAAAAAAATGCCGCTGAGTTCTCTTGTAAATATATAATGTTAAATTGAGAGATGATCTAGTTTTTAAATTGATTACTAAGTGATTCGTCTACGATTACAGTATTAAGGGGACGTCTAAAGCGGTGGCAAATCATGTGAACACCCGCCAATCAAACTATAAATTTTGATGATCGCCGGCGAAGCAAAACAAGAAATAAAAACCAAACCCCCCGAAAAATACAAAAAAAACGACAGTATAAACTTACCTCGGGTAGGTTAATCAAAAATGTCTGAAGGCAAATTTGCTTATATATAACTACCTAAAACCTAACATAACCCTAATATAGGATTACCCTAACCCCAAAATTAATCGAGAAAATTATATTATTAACGTTAACGTTAAGAAATACGCCCCGTATTAAGAAACATGTGGCACATAAATACGTATCATACGTACGTACGTACGTAAGTACGTACGTACTATATAAAATATGACGTCAGCGGTATTTAAAAAAAACTTGTGTTACTATCGCTATGTATAGATAGATATCAATATTAGAATAATTTACAAGAATACGTAATAATCATGCTGATGAGAAAAACATTACGAAAGCAGGTTTACTTCATCAAATACAGGAATAATTTAGACTATTATGACATGTTGTCCATGTTAATTCGATTTCTATTTATATCGATATCTGTATATTTCGGGCTATTTTTTTTAAATCGTTCTTCTACCAAACCTCCATCTCTTTTTATTATAATTTAAAGATGGTAGACTTCAGTCCTGACGACATATTGGCCTTGATTTTTAGTTTGATATTTCCTCCGATTGGGGTGGCTCTTAAACGGGGATTTTCTACAGATTTTTGGTTCGTTTTTTTGTTTTTTTTTTTAATTTTTTTTAGTTACTGTATTTAATAAACTAAATATTTTTGAAATTAATTTGAACCTGTTTTATTTAGCATTAACATTATTTTGACAATACTTGGTAAATAAATTAATGTTGGGCTTGCTTGCTTGAATTAGAAAGAGGTTGCTTAATTGTCATCCGCGGTAACCTGTAAGATTTGCATATAGTGCAGTAGGCTACGATGTGGCAATTAAACAATCTATTATTTGAATTTTTTTTATATTATTAATTATTCTCACTGTAATTATAATTGCAGGGTATCTTCCAGGTAATTAAAGCCTCTTCTCTTTTGATTATCATTTTAAAAAATATTATTAGTATATAATGATGAAAATTATACATATAGGAATACTTCATGCGGTTTACATAATTTACACACATCGTGATGAACAAACTCGTGATGAACAAACTCGTAATGAAAAAACTAGCTCCGAAAATCAAGAACGTACACATCCACCCCCACCTTCGGTCGCTATTCCAATTAATGATGACCATACAACAACCACAACAACTACAAGACAAATCGATAAATCTTCTTACAAAACCCCAGACAATACTCCGGATAATACTCAAAATTCAAAAACGGAACTTCCACCATCATCGACATCTCCTGAATCTTCTCCCGAAAAAATGCAAGAGAATATATCAAAATCTGAGTTACCATCATCAACATCTCCTGAAACTCCTGCCGAAAAAACGCAAGAGAATATATTCAAATCTGAGTTACCATTACCACATTATGGAACTCATACTATGGAAGATACGGATCCAAACCGATATAAAAAAGATCCAAATGAATCGAGTGGAGTGACGGATGTAGTTGGTAGTGATAATGTTTTGGGTAGGAAAAAAGAATAGCAACGGGAAAGATTTGAGATTAGTCAAAGAAATAACAAAGTAACCAAAATAAACCAAAATAACTAAAGTATCGGAATTTTAATGGTGTAAATAATGGGCTTTCTGTAGGTATTACATATATTATAAGTGCGTATAATCAAATGTTATAAATTTTCTTTTAGGTGCATACTGTACTCTCGCTAAATGCATATCTATTGTACATGATCTGTATTTATTTAGAGTAGTTTTATATATATATATAATTGGCTAGGTGTTATTTTGAATACAATTTCTTTTTAGTTATTTGAATATGTTGTAGGCGGATTAGGAATTTATCAATAAGTAATCATATTTTACAAAGTTTTTTTTTTAGTACAAATTGTCGATCTAACATCTAAATACGTACCGTAAAAAGAATATATCAGATATTAAACATCGATTATAACATCAATCTGTTTACGTTATCTTGCAAAATTACCAATCAAGACATGTAATTTACAATTCAAAAACGGAATACCTACAGTGTAAATGAAATTATAACACTGGGATAAGCTGAATATTTAATATCTTGAAGTTTGTTAAAATCATTAGTATGTGAGAAGCGATCAACTTTTACTGTAGTTAGCACAAAATATAACTTTAAGGAGAATATAAGTGTAAATGTAGACGTTCCGATTAGATATGTGAAGTGACTGTCATCCACATAATTTCAATTTAAAAGATACCGTAAAAAATAAACATTAGATAATTCGTTCTTACTATTGAAACCTATTCATCTTTAAATTCGTTTCCACGTAAGTTAAGTGGACTCATCTACCTAAGCGAATCCCTAATTCACAGAATTCAGACTCCATTCCACTCACAACAAAATATGTTAAATGTTTAATGGGTTATATCTGATATTTATTAATACAGTAATTACTAGTTTTACTAAATCAAGCCAATAGCATTTAATGCCATAGTTGCTATATCTCGAAAATTAACAGAGTAATTAGTACTTGATTCCTAATAAAAATGCTCAACGTCCCAAAAAACTTTCTCCTACTCTCAATCCCAACTTTAACTAAATCTTTAATGATAAAAATATATGATGTTGAACACCACTGATATTGTTTAAAACTATTTTAAAGGAGATAACATTGGTTATGTTTTGTATAAAATTACTGTTTGACATGGTTAAACGGACGATTAAAAGGTCAATACTGTATGTTTTATTCATTAATTATGCTTAATTAACTTTTTTAAAAAAAAACTGTCTAATTAAAAGATTTTAATTTCATGATTTTTTGACTTTACATATACATTTCGTACAGTATGTACGTATATGCTATGATAATTAATATCAGATATGTTTAATTCAATAAATCGAATATATTGAATTTATTATATCTTAAAAATAAAAAACACCTTTATTATTTTATATTATAAAATGTTAAAAGCGATCTTAGAAATTCAGAGATTCTTTTATTACAATGATGTTACTTTTTTTTTTTTTACCTGAATTTGCCAATTGGTTAAATATGCGCCTTCACCGAAACAAAATAGATATCTTATCTAATTATTATTATTCTAATATTGAAAATTAGAAATCTTTTCTAATTATTATTATTCTAATATTGAAAAATAAATTGGTATCTTTAGTTGTAAATTGTTTTAAAGAGAAGTCCCGCAGGAAATTTATATTATTTGTTTACGTATATAACGATAATTTCAATTTTCTGGTTTTACCAAGTCTTGTGATATCTATATATTCTTAGATCAACGATATAACGATATAAATTTAGAAAAGGCAGTTAATTTGTCTGGCAAAAAAACAGGTTTATTCCAAAAATATTAAAAACAAGCACCTAACAGGCTTAAAATGTAAGTTCTTTTTTTTTTTTTTTTCGATCACCCCAACCTTAAACATGTATTTTACAAAACTTTTAATTTTTTTAACGTTCTTAATTTATTTTGTATTAGCAGTACCTTATTCTTATAAATTTAATATTTATGATGATGATGATGAATCATTCGTACCTTTGATTTCTTCAAAAAATGCTAATGTGGTTCCTGACCAATATATTGTAATTTTCAAAAAAAATATCGACCAAGATGAAATTAACTCTCATTATAACCAAATACGTCAATTAATTGCTCAAACCGATGATGGAATTATCAACATAAATGAAATTCGTCATACCTATGATTTTAATGATTTTAAAGGTTATTCCGGAAGGTTTTCCGCAAAGTTATTGAATAATATTAGACAAAGTAGTGAAGTAATTATTATTATTGTTATTGTTTTATTACTACGTATTATTATTATTATTGTTTGTTATTTATTTAGAATTATACTATTTAAATTTTATCGTCTAATAATTTAATACTAATTTGTTTATAACTTAATAAGGTAGATTATGTGGAGAAAGATCAAATAGTTCAATTAAATTATAAAAAGAATAAGAGAAAAAGATATAAAATTCAATATGATCCTCCATGGGGTTTAGCCAGAATTTCTGCTAGGGTTGATGACTGGCCATCTGACACTGGACGGTATTGGTATCATGAAAGTGGTGGTAATGGTGTGACGGTGTATATCATAGATACTGGTATAAACATACATCATGATGATTTTGAAGGAAGGGCTATTTGGGGTATTGATTATTCTAATGATAATTATGATAATAATGATGGTAATGGCCACGGTACGTTTTATTAGCATACAATGAATGCTTTTATCATAAATTATTATTAAATTAAATTATTATTATTTATTAGTCATATAATTTATTAATTTATAATTTATTATTATTATTCTTCTTTTTAGGAACTCATGTTGCTGGAATAGTTGCGGGTAAAACTTATGGAGTCGCCAAGAAAGCGACAATGGTTGCCGTTAAAGTTTTGAACTCTTATGGTTATGGCTATATTTCAGACATCCTCAAAGGTATTGAATGGTCAGTCATTCAACATAAATCGAAACAAATGAGCAATGATCATAAGGGATCTGTAATTAATATGAGTTTAGGTGGTGATAAAAGTATCGCCACAAATGATGCTGTCAATGCGGTAATGTTAATATATTTTTTCTCTTATAAAAAATTTTGAATTAGTTGTAATTTTTTTTTTCTTCTGTTTAAGGCTGTACGAGAAGGGATCGTTGTTGCCGTGGCTGCTGGAAATGATAATAATGATGCTTGTAATGAATCACCTGCGTCTGCTAAATCAGCTATTACTGTAGGCGCTTCAGATATTAATGATAACTGTGCATGGTTTTCTAATCATGGCAAATGTGTAGATATTTTTGCTCCGGTATATAATTTTTATTAATCATTAAATCATTTTGTGTTGCTTTATTAACATTATTCTAATTATAAAAAATAGGGTGTGGATATTTTATCATCTTGGATAGGTTCAGAAAATAATGTGGTTGCAACTTTATCAGGAACTTCAATGTCTTCTCCTCATATAAGTGGTTTATGTGCTTTATTTATTTCAATGGGTATTGCAAAACATCCAAAAGATGTTAAAAATAAAATTATTGAACATTCTACACGAGGTGCATTAAAAGGAATACCAAATCTTCATACTCCAAACAGGTTGGCTTATAATGCTTGGTGGTGGAATGACATTTTTGATTTAAAGTTGTCAAAGTTTGATGATTAATGTATTATAATTATTTATTTGTTTTCCGAGTATTTTCTAGTAGTGTTTCTTGTTTTAGTCATCAAGTACATTTTTACATGGATTTATGTAAAATTTTTATGCAAAGTTATGTAGAATTTTTATTGAACCTTATAAAAACTTTATAAACTCAGTGTAGGTTTACATAATTATTTATATAAATCGATACCTATTTCTATATAAAATTATGTAAAATTGCAAAAAAAATTTTTAATTTAAATATTAACGCTAGGATTAGATTTTAAAGGGTTTTTAGCATGTATATCAATTTGTGTCACTTTTGAAAAAGAGTTAAAGATTTATATATACAGTGGCGATCATAAGTAATGGAGCAAAAAAAATTTTAGTTAGATCGCATTATTTCGTGCAATTCTGGACGTATCCTTTTATTTTTTTTTTTTTAATTTTTTATGAGTAATTTCTTTATTTGATTTTAACATTTTAAGTACTTGTTATTGGTTAGGTTGTGAATGATAACTGATTTACTAGATAAATCACGTGGCTTAGCCACGTAATTTATATTGTTCCCTACGAATAATCGGATTTACTAATTTCCCCCACTTCCTATTGGACAGATAAAAATTTTATCTCAGAGATAAAGAATGTAGTCATTTTTACGTGCGTATAAGCGGCACGTCAAATTTTTAATTTTTTTTTTTTTGCGCTCAAACGATATTTTCGTATTTATTAAAAATTTTTAATTGATTTTTTTTTTTTTTTTTTTTTTTTTGCGTTCAAATGATATTTTCGTAGTTATTAAAAAATTTTAAATAACTTATTGTCGTTTAAATTTTAATAAAATTTTTTGGAAATGTTATTTTAGGTTCTTCGTATTTATTAAAATTTTTTAAATACTGTAGCTCTTCGCCGTTTAATACTAACGTTTAGTGACTTTTAGAAATTTACAGCTTTCAATAAATCACTTTGCACGATCAATTTTGTATTTTCATTCAGCATGTCAATTCCACTTATTAAGATTGATGATATTTTCGATATTGATGAAGATGTTGACATGGATATTAGCGATAACGAGTTTGATGTTGATGAGATGCTTGACTCCATTCTAGATGCGTCAGATGGCACTGGTCAAGCATGGGAGGTAGTAAATGATGATACAGAAGAAGCATCAGGGGGGGAAAAGTAAAAACTTACCATTTTCCGGCAAATGAATACAATGAATGGATCAAAAACCTTGAAAAGTTGGGTCTTAGTTATAACTGACATGATCGGCAAATTAAAAGAGGTGCAAAGAGAAAAATGAATGGACTGAAAGGTGGCATTGTCATCGCTATGGGAGTACGAGAGTGTTGCTGGAAAAGATGAAAATAAAAAGCCACATTTAGTACAAAAAGCATCCAAAAAATGCGGGTGTAAAAGTTATATTCTCGTTGTACTTCCCATTAATTCGTCAACAGCAATTTTAAAATATTACTATAAACACCATAATCATTTTCCTGGCCAACTTTTGGACCTATGCACACTTCCTCTTTCAGAAAACATTCGTCAGTTTGTGCAACAGCATGCTCTTGAGGGTCTTGACGCTTTTGGCATACACAAACTTATGCGATTCTGAGCAATAGAGCTACAAAATCAGGTTTTTTTGTATTTATTTTATACATATCTTGTTTTATTGTTATATACTGTATTTAATTTTTTTTTTTTTGTTTATTAATTTTATTTATGATAATTTATTTTTTGTTTATTAATTCTATTTAATTTATTTGATTTTTATTGCTCTTTTTCGATTTAGGGTGTTCTCAAGCACCTCAATCAATGTATCGGAGGCAAAATTTAATTAGTCGGAAATTGAATAAATGAAACGAGGAAGTTACCACTTCGATGAGAAAATCAGCGAGATACAAACCACCTTTTTTCTCCAAAAATTTACCATTGATAAAGGTCGCTCAAGCACTACTTTACATTTTTTTTAATAAACAATGAATTCTCAACAAATTTATGACCGATTCAAAAAAATTGCTATTTTATTTTTAGAGTGTGCTCAAGCATTTGATTCTATTAATACCGTCTTTGATTGTAATGCTTGAGCGTCATCACGATAATTATTGAATCAATTGATTGAGATGCTTGAGAACACCCTTAGTTGGATCGACAAATTTTTATCTTGTCTGTGAGCCCTGTAAATCCGTGAATTCTATATATTCATTAATTTTGCATACGTATAATTGTTATATATCAATTATTTATAACAATAATAACATAATAAACTGTAAACAATTACGTACATACTACGTACAAATAATTGTTATTGTTATATGCAGGATATGAAACTCACAGGTTCACGGATTCATGGGAGTGATAATCTATAATTTAAAGTTATATTTATTTATTATTTGTAATCTATAATTTTTTATTAAATTATTTAATTGTTTTTATTTAATATTTTAGATTTCTTTGCTTAACTCTGAAGGTCATTCGCATTCACGGGATGTGCAGGTATTACGAGATAGATTAATAACACACGATGATATATACACGATTGTTTATAATACCATGAAGACATCTGTGTATTTTGATAAAGATGAGTCCTGCTCTTTGGAAATGTGGTGAAATAAGATAATTAGTAGAGATGAGGTTTGTACATTCAGAAGATATGATGAGATAGATGATATTGGATTCATGTTTATGTTTCAAATAAAAGAGCAGAGACAATTAATGGAGTTTGCTAGAGTGGTGTGTTTAGACGGAACACACAGAACAAATCGTCACGGGTATCATTTATTCACACTTGTTATATGACATCCGGTAGTAGGAAGTGGATACTCAATCGTGTTCTTGATAAGTGAGTTTAAATAGACGTTGACTTTAAAGGAATGGTTTAATTTTTTAAAACGTGAAAATAAAAGGTGGAGGCCAGATATTTTCATGGTCAATGATGCCGGAGAAGAAATAAAAGCATCCCAAGAAACTTTTTCTGATAGTTCCGTATTCCTGTGTCATTTTCATGTGCTACGGTCTTGGCGTAGAAAATTATGCCATAAACGTGGCACAAATAATAATCTACAAAAGGAAGTTGTTTGGGATTTTCTCTGGCAACTACTAAAAACAGAAGGATGGTCTGACGTAGAAGCTCAAGCACAGATAGTAAGAGCAATTAATTTGTGGAGAGAAATGGGTAACGAGGCAATAAATAATTTTGCGGCTTACTTCGAGCATTGGTAGAAGCCGAAGTACGAAATGTGAATGGTTTGTATGAGAGGTGTTGCTAGGGATATGATGGACACGAATAATTTAATAGAATCGTTCTATCATAAACTAAAATATACTTATATGAGAGAGCGACCAGATATGGATTAAATTAATTAGAATCGTTTAGTCTAAAATGTTTTTATTTATTTATTATAATTAATTTTTTTAAGTATATATTTTAGCCTAACTAAATGCTTTATAACTTATTTATTTAATTTTATTTATTTTATTTTTATTTATTTATTTATTTTTATTTTATTTTATTTGTTTTTTTAGTATAGCATATGTTTAAGTATAATTGCATTCATTATTATTTTTAATACTATTTAGTGTTTTTTGATGGATTTAATCTTGTTAAAAAATTTTTAATTAATTTCAATTCTATACTAATAGGTTGATGGCTTGATGGTGAAGTACATCTTTTTGTAGAAGTTGTACTTCGTAACATGAATTTTGCCATTTTTCAAAGTGAATTAAAAATTGGCAGGATGAATCAACAGCAGTGTTAACAATGCATTAGAGAAATTGCAAGGTCTATACGCATTGATAACAATAATATCTATAATATTCAGCCTGACCTTTGGATAATACGTTTCTTAACCAATAATGATATAGAGTATTCGGTTAGAAAAAGAGATCTCACAAGCAATGAAAATAGCCTTGATACTGCTCCCTATATTTGTAATTGTTGTGATTTTCAATCACGACAATTACTATGCAAACATGTGTTTGCCGTATTAGCACGAAACAACATACATGATGAAGATATAGAGGATGCACAGCTACTACTGCCTGTGGAATCTGATTTTTCTGATTCTCAAATTTCTCATAATAATTTCATAGATCAAAGAGCTGATAAGAACTTCCAATTTGCAAAATTGCAAGAAGAACTTAATGCAATTTCTGCCAAATGGAAAAATGTGGGAGAAGAGGATATTTATAGTCTGCGAATGGCTCTCCAGCAAGTTACCCAAATGGAATATGCAAGAATTACACGGATAGAACTCATTCCTCGAGCTACCATTAATAATGAGAATAATGTGTCAAGAATCGCACCAAATGCAAAAATTATAGGACAGAATAAGTATTAATTTCTCTCTTTTTTTTTTTGTAAGCATATGTTTAACTAGTTGTATTTCCTCCACTACATGCATTTAACTAAAATTATAAAATAAAATAAAAATTGCTAAATATTTGACTTTTTATAAACAACCTGTAAAAACATTTCATATAAGTTACTTTCTCAACAAATTAATGTATTTAAACAATTTAAGTTCATAATTGAATCATTTTTGGTTGTATTTTAAAATTTTGATATATAAAAAAGTTTTACAAGTTTAATAAATTTTGATATATAAAAAAGTTTTACAAGTTTAGTAAATTTTGTTTTCACAAAAGTAATTTGGCAAAAGTTTTTGAGTTTGGTGTTTTCACGAAGTGATTTGATGAAAAGTTTGAGTTCAATATTTTCACGAAAGTAATTTGGCAAAAGTTTTAAATTTTTTTTTTTCAAGAAAATTAAAATTTTGGCCATATTTGACTGCAATTATTCAGTTATTATTTTTTTTTTCAAAAGTGGAGTAATTGTTTTGTCCAATCAGAGACTATTTATTGCGTCCAATTAGAAGTGATGGGGAAATTAGGGCTTTCGAATAATCAAAGGGTAGGGTAGACATAGATCATTTTTCATATAATCTATGTAGTATATTAAAATTTTACATAGACAGAAAAAATTCACCTCTGATAAAACTTTTTAAAAACGTAACTATCTTTGC